ACCCCAACAACAGTTGTTCAACACAGTAATAACCCCAACAACAGTTGTTCAACACAGTAATAACCACAACAACAGTTGTTCAACACAGTAATAACCCCAACAACAGTTGTTCAACACAATAATAACCCCAACAACAGTTGTTCAACACAGTAATAACCCCAACAACAGTTGTTCAACACAGTAATAACCCCAACAACAGTTGTTCAACACAGTAATAACCCCAACAACAGTTGTTGAACACAGTAATAACCCCAACAACAGTTGTTCACACAGTAATAACCCAACAACAGTTGTTCAACACAGTAATAACCCCAACAACAGTTGTTCAAGACAGTAATAACCCCAACAACAGTTGTTCAACACAGTAATAACCCCAACAACAGTTGTTCAACACAGTAATAACCCCAACAACAGTTGTTCAACACAGTAATAACCCCAACAACAGTTGTTCAACACAGTAATAACCACAACAACAGTTGTTCAACACAGTAATAACCCCAACAACAGTTGTTCAACACAGTAATAACCCCAACAACAGTTGTTCAAGACAGTAATAACCCCAACAACAGTTGTTCAAGACAGTAATAACCACAACAACAGTTGTTCAACACAGTAATAACCCCAACAACAGTTGTTCAACACAGTAATAACCCCAACAACAGTTGTTCAAGTCAGTAATAACCCCAACAACAGTTGTTCAACACAATAATAACCCCAACAACAGTTGTTCAAGACAGTAATAACCCCAACAACAGTTGTTCAACAGAGTCAGTTCTGTGAGTCAACTATGTACTGAAGCCTACCACTGGGTACCTGTGTAGGGTACGTATTGAGGGTACCTATTAAGAGTACCTATTTTGGGCACCTTTCTTATGTTGAGGGTGTTTTTAAAGTACCTATTTGCAGTACCTATTTTCGGTATTTGGTTATTTATTAGTCTTATGAAATAAATAAGTCAGTTAACCTGTGTTTTAAGCTGGGTAAAAGCTTGATGCTGGGCACGCTTGACCTGGCGGAGCTGGGAGACACTAGTCACAGAGACTCTCACAAAGGCATTAACAAAGCCTTGTTGACGCTCTCGGACGAGTGCTTCCCAGACCAGTGACCTTGGAGTGCAACCGATCCACAGTTTAATTCACTCCTGATTTTAATACCCCGGGGTACCTTGGAGTACAATCAATCCACAGTTTAATTCACTCCTGATTTTAATACCCCGGAGTACCTTGGAGTGCAACCGATCCACAGTTTAATTCACTCCTGATTTTAATACCCCGGGGTACCTTGGAGTACAATCGATCCACAGTTTAATTATCCTTATTTTAATACCCCGAAGTTAATTGGAGTACAACTGATCCATTAACAGCTTAATTCAGTCCTTATTTTAATACCCCCGGGTACCATGGAGTACAACCGATCCACCAACAGTTTAATTCATTCCTTATATTAATACCTCAAAGTATCTCGTTGCACAACCGACCTACAATTTAACTCAATCCCTATTTAACACCCAAGTAATTCTTGATGCAAGTGCAAAGGTGAATTACTGCTCTAACGACCCACATGTAACCCATAAGTTTTGAACATAAATTAAGCACAGAGTTCCATTTGTTTTCATGGCATATTGTGGGATTCTTGTTTTGGTTACTTGGAATTGTTTGGGAAGACTTCTGTGTTTTTTACGCCATGAAGATAGAGGTAAACAACGGGCTACCTTTGGTTCCAGCGGTGCCCTGCTGTGTGATTACCTCTGGATAACCCTTTGTGTGGCGTTGTATATGTTCGAGTATATTAGCTTGAGAAATGTTCCTTTCTGTTTTGTGGAGGTTATTTTGGTCTGTCTGTCTGTCTGTCTGTCTGTCTGTCTGTCTCTCTCTCTCAAAATATTTTCTCTATGGTAGAGGTAAGAAAGAGAAGGGAGGAAGAGAAGAATTATTCTTCCTTTCCTGGAAAAGTGTAAGGGAGGTGAGGGAAGGGGTAATTATCCAACCTTCCCTGGTAGAGGTGAGGTAGCCAGGGAGGGGTCAATCACCCCCCCCCCTCCCCCCCCCCCCCGCCGACCATGTAGCTGCTGCGGCCACAAGAGGTAATCCGGATTTGTTGACGTTTTTATAGGATTGATAAATGCAAATCTCCAGTTCGGATTGATTTTCATCAATTTCTGGGGTTCATGTTTTGTACTGACTGCTGCTGTTGTTTATATTATTTCTAGAGGAGGAATGTATATATATATATATATATATGTGTGTATGTGTGTGTGTGTGTGTGTGTGTGTGTGTGTGTGTGTGTCTGTGTGTGTCTGTAAAAAACAACAAAAACACATACACAGGCAACAAAGGCATAACTGCAGGCAGACTTCAGGCAGGTTCAGTGAACACACAGATGAACATTCGTGAAGCTGAATTTTATTGTTTGGCTCCTTTTTATCTCTATTCTGACGTCGTCTATAATAGGTGGACCAATTAAACTGTGAGTGGAGACGGTTTTTTAGTGTGTCCCGGAGTGGACCTCCCTTCCCTTACTGACAGGAGGTGAACCCTGGCTTCTACACTCATAACATAGGTCAGGTTCAATGCTAGGTTCAACCTGACGCAGAACCTAACCTGCCTCCCTGGTATGTGTGTGGCAGTTTTTAATAGGATAGTGAGTCGTAGAGTGATTGATAGCGCAAGCTCTCTCTCTCTCTCTCTCTCTCTCTCTCTCTCTCTCTCTCTCTCTCTCTCTCTCTCTCTCTCTCGCTCTCTCTCTCTCTCTCTCTCTCGCTTCCATACAACTAAACAATAGATAGTTCTTCTCAGTAGATAGCCTCGGAGATGATTATCAAGTTCTCCGCTGTACTCCCTTGTACTCCCATGTACTCCGATGCACTCCCGTGTTCTCCCATGCACTCAACTGTACTCCCATGTACTCTTTCCTTCTTAAAATTTACAGAGACAGCAAATATAGCAGGAACTATACGACTGACAGGAATGATTTCACCCAGAAGCTGTGGAAGTATAACCATAAACACGTTAAAGATAGGAAGAGAGAGAGAGAGAGAGAGAGAGAGAGAGAGAGAGAGAGAGAGAGAGAGAGAGAGAGAGAGAGAGAGAGAGAGAGAGAGAGAGAGAGAGAGAGAGAGAGAAAGAGAGATTGAAAATATATACCCTTACATTTTTCCAAAGATTTGCATCAAAATTTGGCCAAGAATTGGCCTCATCGTATCATTAAATATTCATTGGGATGAATTTCTCTGGAGAGAGAGATGAAGTGAGCTTGTTGCTGCAGTCTCACCTCTCTCTCTCTCTCTCTTTCTCTCTTTCTCTCTCTCTCTCGTGGACAACACAGTCTTCCCTCAAGCAGAAGCTTACTCAACGTGTAATTAGAATATCACTCAGCGCTTAAGTCATACACTTCCTCTGTTGTTTAAGAATTAGATTCTTTTCCTGTGTTCCTGTGTTTCTGTGTTCACTATGTTCCTGTGTTCATTATGTTCTGTGTTCATTCTGTTCCTGTTTGTTCGGTTATGTTCGTGTGTTTGTCAGGTTGTGTTTATGATGTTATTAGTTGTGTTTTGTCAGCCCGAAAGTAAGTCAGTAAGTCAGTAAATCAGTGAGCCAGCCAGCTAGTCAGTCAGTAAGTGAGCCAGTCAGTCAGTGAGCCAGTCAATCAGTCAGTCAGCGAGCTAGTTAATCAGTGAGCCAGTCAGTCAGTGAGCCAGTCAGTCAGTGAGCCAGTCAGTCAGTCAGCCAGTCAGTCAGTCAGCCAGTTAATCAGTCCGTCAGTGAGCCAGTCAATTAGTGAGCCAGTCAGTAAGTGAGCCAGTCAGCCAGTCAGTCAAGCAGCCTTGGAACTAGAGTCAGTGGAAAGCAAATAAAAACCTTGCGACACGACTGAACTTGCGTCATGACGACTTAACTTGCGTCGTGATGACTTAACTTGCATCGTGATGACTTAACTTGCGTCGTGACGACTTAACTTGCGTCGTGATGACTTAACTTGCGTCATGATGACTTAACTTGCGTCGTGATGACTTAACTTGCGTCATGATGACTTAACTTGCGTCATGATGACTTAACTTGCGTCGTGATGACTTAACTTATATACTCACCCAGTCATCTTGATGACTGGAGATACTCACCCAGTCATCTTGATGACTGGGGATACTCACCCAGTCATCTTGATGACTAGGGATACTCACCCAGTCATCTTGATGACTGGGGATACTCACCCAGTCATCTTGAAGACTAGGGATACTCACCCAGTCATCTTGATGACTAGGGATACTCACCCAGTCATCTTGATGGCTGGGGATACTCACCCAGTCATCTTGAGGACCAGGGATACTCACCTAGTCATCTTGATGACTGGGGATACTCACCCAGTCATCTTGATAACTGGGGATACTCACCCAGTCATCTTGATAACTGGGGATACTCACCAAGTCATCTTGATGACTGGGGATACTCACCCAGTCATCTTGATGACTGGGGATATTCAACCAGTCATCTTGATGACTGGGGATACTCACCCAGTCATCTTGATGACTGGGGATACTCACCCAGTCATCATGATAACTGGGGATACTCACCCAGTCATCATGATAACTGGGGATACTCACCAAGTCATCTTGATGACTGGGGATACTCACCCCAGTCATCTTGATAACTGGGGATACTCACCCAGTCATCTTGATGACTGGGGATACTTACCCAGTCATCTTGATGACTGGGGATACTCACCCAGTCATCTTGATGAATGGGGATACTCACCCAGTCATCTTGACGACTAGGGATACTCATCCAGTCATCTTGATAACTAGGGATACTCATCCAGCCATCTTGACGACCAGGGATACTCACCTAGTCATCTTGATGACTGGGGATACTCACCAAGTCATCTTGATGACTGGGGATACTCACCAAGTCATCTTGATGACTAGGGATACTCACCTAGTCATCTTGACGACTAGGGATACTAATCAGTCATATTGATGACTGGTTATCAGCGCTTGATTCTAGGAGTCAGAGCTGCCTTCCTCTTCCTCGGATCAAACCTTCGGAACAAATATGTTATTTAAAAGTTCAATAGTGACCTTTAAGACTTCAAACTCAGAACCATTGTAACATTCTTAAGTGACTTTTATATCACACAGCAAAGGTCAGGCAAAGGTTCCTAGGTCACCTCTGTAACGTGACAAAGGTCACTGTGACTCGTGAGTGACAAGGGGAGAAATTCCAGTCTAGAGTAAGAAACAGTGATGTTTAGTGTCTCCAGAGACGAGTATGATACAGGTAGTGTTGTCACACACACACACACACACACACACACACACACACACACACACACACACACACACACACACACACACACACACACACACACACACACACAACACTGGTACACACAACACTGGCACACACAACACTGGTACACACAACACTGGTACACACAACACTGGTACACACAACACTGGTACACACAACCTGGTACACACAACACTGGTACACACAACACTGGTACACACAACACTGGTACACACAACACTGGTACACACAACACTGGTACACACAACACTGGTACACACAACACTGGTACACACAACACTGGTACACGCAACACTGGTACACACAACACTGGTACACACAACACTGGTACACACAACACTGGTACACACAACACTGGTACACACAACACTGGTACACAACAACACTGGTACACACAACACTGGTACACACAACACTGGTACACACGCAACACACTGGTACACGCAACACTGGTACACACAACACTGGTACACACAAACACTGGTACACACAACACTGGTACACACAACACTGGTACACACAACACTGGTACACACAACACTGGTACAACAGCAACACTGGTACACACAACACTGGTACACACAACACTGGTACACACAACACTGGTACACACAACACTGGTACACACAACACTGGTACACACAACACTGGTACAACACAACACTGGTACACACAAACACTGGTACACACAACACTGGTACACACAACACTGGTACACACAAACACTGGTACACACAACACTGGTACAACACAAACACTGGTACACACAACACTGGTACACACAACACTGGTACAACACAACACTGGTGCACACAACACTGGTACACACAACACTGGTACACACAACACTGGTACACACAACACTGGTACACACAACACTGGTACACACAACACTGGTACACACAACACTGGTACACACAACACTGGTACACACAACACTGGTACACGCAACACTGGTACACACAACACTGGTACACACAACACTGGTTCACACAACAGGTTGTGTTGAATGACCTTCCAAGGAGGTTGATTTGCATTCTGGGAATTGTATATTGAGAGATGGGAATTGTGGCTCGGCTTGCTGAGAATTTTTGAGAATTTTGGTTGATATGTGCGTTGTGAATTGTGTAATCTTTGGGAGTTGAATGTTAGCTCTAGGCCTTTCGTGTCGCAATCAACACATCATCAGGAACTTGCAATTTTGCAGAAAAAGTAGGAATATTCATGTATAAATATATATATATATATATATATATATATATATATATATATATATATATATATATATATATATATATATATATATATATATATATATATATATATATATATATATATTAATATGAATACTCAAGTTAAAATATAAAATAATTTATAAATATATTTATATAAGACAAAAATATCATTTGTAATATAGTCTACAATATACTTTTATTTGTAGCGAAAGTTTGGAAGACAAAAGTCAGACTTTTGTTGACTATGTTTGTGAAAGTATTTTGCAGTTATTCTCCAGTGTGATATTTCCCAATCGGCTTTTTTTCAACGTGTTAACTTTATATATTTTCAAGGAATTTCTCCAGCTTCAACATTCTGTAATTCTTTTTTTTTTAAATTCTGCTTTTGTTATATTTAACAATATCTAGATTTTCCTCTCTTAAAAATTCTGCTGATTTGTTCTATTCAATATTTTTTATGGTGATTTTTAATTCGTGTGTCTTTGGTACATACTGATAGGTCTTAGGGATGTCAGGAAGTGTTTCTTCAGCCTCAGGATGGTGAGAAAGAGAAGTGAGAGTGTAGTGGCAGGATCCATGCTTAGTTTGAAGAATAGGTATGAGATGGCAATGGTGACTAGGTAAGTTGAAAAGGGCCAGGAGCTGAGTCTCGTCTCCTGCTCTCACAAGTTGATGGATGTAAATATAGATGGGTACACACACGTGCACAGGAGCTATTACTTGACCTCTGTAACCACAATTAGGTGAGTACACACACACAAACACACACACGGGGCCAGGAGCACTGACTCGACCCCTACAACCACAAGTAGGCGAGTACTCACACATACACACACACACACACACACACACACACACACACACACACACACACACACACACACACACACACACACACACACACACACACACACACACACACACACACACACACACACACACACACACACACAACTCACACACACACACACACACACACACACACACACACACACACACACACACACACACACACACACACACACACATACCACACACACACACACACATGCACACACACACTCACACACACACACATACACACACGCACTCACACACACAAAGCACACACACACACACATACAACACAACAACCACAACACACACACACACAACACACACCACACACACACACACATACACACCAAACACAAACACACACAACACACATACACACACACACTCACACACACACACACACACACACACACACCACACACACACACACACACACACACACACAACACACACACACACACACACACACACACACATCACACACATACACCAACACACACACACACACACCACACACACACACACACACACACACACACACACACCACACACACACACACACACCACACACACACAACACACACACACACACACACACACACACACACACACACACGTGCTAAACTCTCATGGGCCATGTATTAACTCCTGAATGGTCAATAATCTCTACACGGAGGTTCGAGCCTCCATATATAAACAACAACCGCTACTTCAACCCTCATTAACCAGGCCACAAGCCACACAACTACTTGTTGGATAATCCCAAACAACCAGCAATTAGTGATCTAACGAGGCAATTAGCGTCACAAAAGGTCTTCGTAACGACTTAAACTTGCAGTTGCCCAAGAGTCTCTCGTGACCCTGAAGTGCCCAGAGTCATGGCACTCAAGGAGTGCCTTGAGTGCCCAATAAAAGCCTAATTAGAGTGTTATGCTCTAATGATTTTATTGCCTCACCTGCCAGACATCAAAGTCAGCTTGGTCACCAGACCATCAGTCCTCTTCACTAAATTACTTTGATTACTCTAATGAGGCTGTTACAGTAGCAGTTACAATAGCAGTTACAATAGCTTAATAACCTCTGTTGACAGTGGCGATATTGTTGGGTAACCTGGTGCATGATACCAGGGATGTTGACCTGGTGCAGTGGTACCGGGGATGTTGACTTGATGCAGTGATACCTGTGATGGTAACCTGGTGCAGTGATACCAGTATGTTGACCTGGTGCAGTAATACCAGGGATAGTGACCTGGCGCAGTGACACCAGTTATGTTGACCTGGTGCAGTGATAGCAGGGATGTTGACTTGGTGCAGTGATACCAGTGATGGCGCCAGAGATGTGTAACTTATCCAAATTACAGTGAAAATCTTTAATAACTATTAAAGAGTCTTCAGACGTGGTTAACACCTCGTCTCTAAGATGATAGAGTACTCTGCGGACTCTGTTTAGCGTTGCAGATGCTGGTAACCTGCGCTCCTCTAGACGACAGGTACTCAAACACGGGTGGGAGAGTCCGTAGAGTTTAGTGAAATTGTTACAACACATTCGGGGGAGATTTTACTCCTTGCGTCAGATTGGCGAGCCAACACTGTGACATGTTTATATACGATGTTTCGATCGTTAGGCCGAGACGGGCGAAACGTTTTTATAATAAACATGTCTTAATGACTGAAATAGATTTTTCGACAGAATCGTAAGCAAACACTTATTTGTTTACGATGTTTCGGTCGTTAGACCTTGATCACTTCTAGTAAGGCCCCAGGACCGAAACGTTTCTTTAATGAATATGCCTTAATTACTGCTCACGTCCCTTTTTAATTATTCAATAATGAGTTTTGTGGCCAGGGAAGGTACTTCTGAGTCAGTGATAACGAAATATGGCCGGGGAGTAACGTAGAGGGAAATATTCCCTTCGTTAACTCTGTCAACGTTTCAGACATTGACTGAAATGAGGGAGGAGGAGAAGTGTTGAGTGGCAACCCATAATGATGGCTCAGGAATCACCCGAAACATCACCTAACTTACATTTCTCGATTCAAGATTGGTTGTGAAAAAATTCCAGGCATCGTCCTGCGAAGCTTTTACAAGATAGTTTGACCCAAAATATATACATGTTCATACATGCATTCACATACACGCACATTCACACATACGTAGGTAAACACATAAGCATACAGATACATATACACACTACAATACAGAACATCACCAAGCAATAATATGCCACTATCCTCCGTAATACATAGAGTCATAAAGACGTCGTTAGGATGGTAGTTACAAGTAACGCACCATAAAACTGGGTTGCTGGGTGCTGCTAGCCAGGGAAGAGTGGTGCTAGGCGGGGGAGATGTGTGTTAAACAGGGGAGAGGTGTGTTAGGTAGGGGAGAGGTGTGTTAGGCAGGGGAGAGGGGTGCTAGGCGGGGGAGATGTGTTTTAGGCAGGGGAGAGGTGTGTTAGGCAGAGGAGAGGTGTGTTAGGCAGGGGAGAGGTGTGTTAGGCAGGGGAGAGGTGTGTTAGGCAGGGGAGAGGTGTGTTAGGCAGGGGAGAGGTATGCTAGGCAGGGGAGAGGTGTGTTAGGCACGGGAGAAGTGAGTTAGGCAGGGGAGAGGTGTGTTAGGCAGGGGAGAGATGTGCTAGGCAGGGGAGAGGGGTGCTA